GGATGAATAGCGAAGTTGAATATTATTTGAACTCTAATACTGAATTCTGGTAAAAGGTCTTAAGATAATTATGTGTTGGGCATGTGGCCGACACATTGTTGTAGTTAAGGCATGCAAAATGAATGTCTAGCACCCTGGTCACGGATGTCTTGTGCCCTTTCTTTTTGAACAAAAAGGTAATAGATTATGTCAGCATCTGGCAATGTATAACCTACCTGGACGAACACCAGTTTCCTTACACTTACTGTATAAAAATCTACACAAATTGCAATAAAATCGCAGCAGTCCATCAACTGAGTGTGACTGTCTGTCAGTTCCTGCGCCGAATCCCGTTCTCCTGTCTTCAGACCTTGTCTCTCCCTCGGTCCCGGTGCCCTGGCTAGGGCCGGTCCGCGGCACCTGGAAGTAGCCTCTTAAAATGGGGTGGCCCAGGGAGGCCTCTGGAAAAGCTTAGCTGAGCTCTAACCATGGTAGCTAGACATGGCAAGAAAAGTTTCTAGAAGGGGGGACTGCATATGCAAAGGCCCTGTGGTGGCTGAACTTAATGTGCACCTGGAACACAACAGCAATCAAGGTGAGTCCTAGGAAAGGCCAGGGTGGTGAAGGGGGCCAAATCATTCAAATAGGAGGGTACAGTTAACATTTGCATAAAGGAAGTTGTTTGATCTCACAAGAAACCCTATGAGGTAGGTACTAGCCCCATTTTACCAGTGTGGAAAATGAGGGTTATAGAGGTCAAATGATGCACTCTGGGTAATACAGCTCATTTGTGGTAGTCTGGACTAGCACCCACATCTGACTCTAGCAGGTTGTCCCTAATTGTGCAACAGATCCCTACCAGCTTCCTCTGTGCTCCTCAGGCGGGAAGCTTAAGCTCACTGGGCCATGGGGGTCTTTGGCCTAGCCTCCTGAGGCTATAGAGAAAGACAGCCAGGGACCAGCTATCCACCAACAACCCCAGTTGTCGGGAGAATAATGGTTTTGTTCTCTTTCATTATTGTGTTGGTGATTTGAGCTCTTTTGCCTTCCCACATAAACCTTAGAATCAGTTTGCTCATATCCATAAAATAATTTACTGGGTGTTCTATCAGGCAACACCACACTGATAAAGAGATAGGAGTCGTGGAGCAGGCTACGTAATGCAGGATGCTGCTGAAGAGCAAGATCTTGGCCTTTTATTGATAAGCCAGTCATACAGCATTAGTGGCTGTAGTGGCTGCAGTGGCTGCAGATAACTTCATAGTGCTGAAACTTGAACCCCTGAGCCATCAAGGAGGCCCCTGTGTCTTTTATTTTAAATTCCATGCATTCATTGCCAGTCTGTTTCTTCATCTTGCTATATTTACTGCTGTGTCTCCATTTCATCTCAAGCCTGAATCTCTTGTGTGGCTGCTTGTCTTTTGAGCTACTTGTTCTCTATCCATGTATGGGGAAGGTAGTTTATGTCCCAGAATTCCAGCAAAAATTCTGAGCATCCTCAGATCAATTCCCATAGTTGAAGAGTTGCACCTGAAGCTTCCTTTTTTGTTTGTTTGTTTTTAAATATTTATGCATGTAAGAGTTAAGGTGTGCGGGGTGTGAGAAGCTTCACCAGTGAGAGTGGGGAGAGCAGGTGGATCTACTGAAATATACTGCTGAGGGGAACAGTGGGGAGACAGGAAAGATCTGCTGTGCCATGTGGGTCAGCTTCCTGGTCTGGGATTGAACTCATGCTGCAGTGGCAGTGGATAGTGTCATGGTGCTGAGACTTAACCCTTTGCACCACCAGGGAGGCCCTCTTCAAAAAACAAAAACAGCTTTATGGAGATATATTGAGATCCATCCATTTAAGATATAATTTGGTGCCTTCCCTGGTGGTACAGTGGATTAAAACACAGCACTGTGAAGCTACTGCAGCCACTGCAGCACAAACAAGTCCGATCCTCAGCCAGGAAGGTGGCCCCCATGGTACAGCAGACCTCTCCTGATCCACCTGCTGCTCCCCTCAGAAGTGTATTTCAGTTAATCTACCTGTTCTGCTCCCCACTATCTCTGGTGAATCTGCTCACCCCCTGCACCTCTGGTCTGTAACCCAGTTATGTATGCATAAATAAATAAATCTTTAATGTATATATAATTTGACAATCTTGAATACATTCACAGAGTTAGGTGTTAGTCTTCAAATAATTTTCAGAACATTTTCAGCATCTAAAAAGAAACTACCAATAAGAGTCACCCATACAATGATTCGGGCTTACCTGAGCCAGGGTATGTGTCTTGGCTGGGGAAGGGGGTACCCCACTTGACCCACGTGGCTGCTGCACAATGGAGGGGATTAGAGGAAAGGATGTTGGGAAGGCAGCCATGGTGCACCGTATGTCTGACATCTCCCCTTGCCTCCCTGCCTGTCCCAGCAACACGTTCAGCCAAGTATCACGCAAAAGGGGCCCAGTGGCCAGCATTTTGTCAGCCCATCCTTAGTGAGAGAACAGCTATGCAGAGGCATAGAAGTCAAGAGAGAGAAACTGGTGAACTTGATAACTGAAGTCAAGTTGCATGTAGAAATAGGGCATGGGGTGAGCTCACATTTCTAAAGTATGTGTGCATGTGTGTCCCACCATTAGGTGCGTAAAGTTTCAGAGTCATCCTGTCTTTCCTAAAAAAGAATCCATGCACTGAAAGTTTACCATATGCTCTCACCTTCACAGCACCTGGATATAACAGGTATCCATATTACCCCCAATTCTCTGATGAGGAAATAGGCTCAGAGAGGCAAAGTCACCTTCCCAGGTTTGCCCGGCTTGGATTTGGACCCAGCTGAGGATACCCACCCAGGCATCCTCTTCCACTTCAGGCACATAGTTGCAGAGAGTAATGTACTTCAACTTTATTCTGCTGATGTTTACTCAACACTGAGGAGGTCACTCTATACCCTTATATAACATTCATGTCTGCAGTATGGTCTTTTTTCCCTGCTCAGGGTATTCCGTTGAAAGAAGCTCTGTAGTTATTCGGCCAGTTCCCTATGGAAAGATATTTAGGTTATTCCCATATTTTTGCTACTGTATTAGCTGTCTGCAAACTAGTATCTTTGCTCCCTCTACAAATCTATCCACAGAAGAAATTCCTACTGGGCCAATAAAGAAAAGTGTGCTATAAATTCTCAACGTTGCCAAATTCCCCTGGAAGAAGGCTGTTCTCCCACTCAAGTAGCCAAAGCTGTTTTAGATTCAGAGCAGGAAGGCTCCGACGGCTAGGGGGAGATCTCACCCCACCTGGTGCCTCTCTGGCCTGGAGCCAGCTATCCCCAGATAGTCCAGGCTCAGCCACTCTGATTCCTTCTGCTTTTCTGATGGCTCCAGCTGTCCCACCTCGGGTCTTTCCTCTTGTGCTTCCCAGTGCCGGGATGCTGTTCCCCAAAACCTCACAGAATTTCCTCCTTGTCTTTCCTAGTAAAAGCCCCAGGCACCCTCTATGATTTCACGTGGTATTATTTCCTTTTCAACAGTTAATACTCCCCAGAATTCTCTTTGTGTGTGTGTTTACTCCTTGATCTTTTCTCTCGCACTGCTCAAAAGCCAGTAGTTTTTTGTCTTTTCCACCATACACCACCTCCTCTTATCCCTCAGTGCACCCCGAACCCCTCACTGCCCTGCTCCATTTTCCTCCCTGCATTCCCTCCCAACAGATATACTTTATTAAGTGTTTGATTAGTGTGTGGATCGCCTACCTCCCTCACTAGAAAGTCTGCTCCTGAGGTCTTGTTGCGTTCACTGCTGTATCCCCCACGCCTGGAACAGTGCGCGCACAGAGACAAATAGTTGTTGAATGAATGAATGCAGGAAGATCGTGAGCCCGCCCTCCGGGGCTGGCATGCTTGCCCTTCATAGGAAAGAGCAGCCGCTCCTAGAAAGTAAGGTCGTTTCCTTCCCCCTCAGGAGCGAGCTGGGGTACGCAGGACCCGGGGTGCGCACCGGGCGGGGCGCAGCCGCCG